ATAAGGTTTAGTCGTGTTAAGACTGATTTTGAATTAGTGACGAAATAGAATCGAATTTCGAAGCAAAATGTACAGTGGAAACATTCATTTAAAAATAAATGGTGACTGAATGTTTATATGCAACAACGTTCACATATTCCTGACCGAAAAACTTTCTGAGCAGAAAAAATCCAAAACAATTGCTACAAACTATTTTCCACGTTCGCCACCTAGTTGTTTCAAACTTTCCAAAATTCATTTTCCCAAACAATGCAAATTCATAATCATTTCAAAGTCATGTGTTGTCGCCTTTGAATGAACATGATAAGCTGGGAAGGGTGATAGCGGAAAAAAGGAAGAGATCATCAGCGCAGTCAACAGAATATTAAAACTGAACGCTTAAAAACAGAAAATAACAACACGGAGGATTCCGAAAACAGGGTTGACATAACGGAAATTTTATACCACACGCAAACGCATAAACCTCTCGAAGACGACAGTGCATTCTGGCTCCTTTATGCAGCGCTCATTAAAAAAATAAAACAACTTCTTGACTTATTGTTGAATTGAATTAAAATATTGTTGAAAATAAGAGGAGAGCGAAATAACAGTTCTCATGGAAGTGGAGGGAACGAAGACAGGTATCTTGCGATGGCATGCACATATTCATTATTGATGCTCAAACATGATGAGACTGGCATTTAGGTGGTTCGATTTTTTTAACGACTTATTGCTAATAAAGTGTAATTTATTTCTGATTGTTTTAGGAGAAAAATGCTTTTCGACATCGTCAGATCATGAAAAATAGATGCTCGCTATTAATGCAAAGAATATATGAATCAAAATGATGAAGTGACAAAACAGAATCTGAAGAACGCAACAGTGATTTTCTATCGTATTTGATGTACGAGAGATCTGCTGAAAAACTGCGATATCATGAAATAACTTTTCGAGTTTTCGGCGAAAATTAAGAGTCTAAAAGATGGAAAGCAAACTCAGTTCAAACTTCATTCTAAAGTCAGTATTTCATAAAACACTCGCAAAGAACTGAAAAGTCTCAACTGTAGCTGATATGAGGTGAAAAACAATAGAAGATGACCAATGCATAGACATTTGGTGTATAACTCTACGGTTCTATTTGATCAACGATAAATGTTATGGTACGTGAATTCATGAATTTTCATATGTCAGTGAATGCAACTATACACATTTCGAATTTTCTCAGAGCAGCCGACAATCAATCATTTTCGAATACATAATATGATATCATCTAAATCATCGCAAAAAACTGTTCAGAGAATCGTCTACGCATCAAATATGCAAAGATATATGAACACCTCACTGTTGCGTACACCTTCATTCATTAAGTTCCAATTTATGTGACTAACTAGCTTCCCTGATGTGATAGAACGATATCAAACAGAGCGCAGCATTTTTGTCATTTTACAACAGTGATCATAATTCCTCAACTACTCTATGATAGGCAGATATGCACCTTTACAACAGTGGATTCCGATGCCATGAACATAGCATTTGCCAAACCCCACTACGTTTCATCAAAAATAGATCCAACCAATTTGGAGTGATCACTAAGTGAACCAAAACTGACGCCATCAAAGAAGTATGGCCAGAAAAGCGAGGAAAGAAATGGCAAAAACACGTCTACTTAAAAGTAAAACAAAATTTACTGATTCATGAATACAGGATGAGTTGAGGGAACAGAAGCGAACACTATTCAGGAGGAATGCAGAAAACCCTAATTCAATGTGTACTATATTATAAATGCATTCATTGTAACTTCGATCGATTTCATATCAAACACCTTCAAATTTCTTTCGCTCAGAAGGTCGGTTCAAAATCTATACCACTTTCACTTCTGAATTGGACGAAATTTGTTCATCACTTAACTCTTCAACGATGTAGATGTTCCACAGCGTTAGGGATTTAAAACGGTACATCCTCTGCAGATGATTTGAAATGGATTTCTAAAGAAGTGAAGCGAAAGAAGATGACTTGTCAAGGTAATAGCAGTCCTGATTACCATAAAAAGCATCGAATCCATATCAGAAATTACGATACATAATTTTAAAACATTTTTTACAACATATATTGTTTCCACAGAGAGGCGACAGAAAATAAGGAGTGGAATTTTTCAGTAGATTCACAACCTCATGCTTGAGCAATTTCGGGTAGAACGTCAACCCAATAACAAATTCATTTCATTGAGTACATTCGGTAAGAGACATCTACTCAAACAGAAAACCAAGCGAGAGTGAACTGTAAATACAGTTCGTGTGTTTTTATTTCATCACATCACTTTTTCAGAGTTCATTCAGCGCACAAAAGTATTTCGTTTCATAAACAATAGCATTTCATTCGTTTACTGCCGTCCTGACAATTCACACTCAAACTCAGTATTCAGCTGCTCTATTCTGTTCCAAATGTCTCCCATAATAGTTCTCTGGACACGCTTCTCACTTCGCTCACCAACAGTGCATTTCAACTATCACATTTGGCAATATCTCAACTTACGATAGCTGTTGCGATCTCCTTAACGACGATAAGCCAATCGCATTTTATCATCGGCTACAAAGAATATTCCCACTGCAATTTTCTTGAAACATACTTTATAGAAAAAAGATACTTCGCAATGATTTCTGGGCAATCTGCGAGAAAGAACACTCATTAATTAGCATTCACTCATCAATATATGTTTCACATCAAATTTTGCAATTCATAAACTAGGATTACGAAAGTACTGATGAATATCCTCCAGAAAACTGTCACAGAAAAGTCTCAGTTCAGTGTCGCAACTTTCTAGCTTTGAGTGGTTTCCTGTCCAATGTGGTAATACTGAATCGAGCTATATGCGTGTTACTAAAATGCCACATTCGACAAAAATTCAACTACAAAATGAGGAACATTGAAGGGACATCCACTGTTGAAACTTTGGTGGGGATCTAAAAACGTAATAGCACTTGATAACCCTACAACGTTTCGAAGCCACGTCGAAATCGCTCGGAAGCAATTTGGCTTCATCAGGCTCAAACTTTGGCTTACACTTATGCCGATACTTACGCTAACGTTCATGTCTGTACTTGACCTCACGCTCTGGCAAGAAGTTGGTAAATCCAATCAGAATGATTTTCACAGTTTGCAAATGTACTCTCTCTAGCGCGTTCTTGAAGGAAGTGCCTTCGTCCACGCTGCCCGATAATGATGATAGAAAGTGAAAGTGAAGTGCAAGGAGCAAACCTGATTCAATCACATATACCACAAATACATAAAAGTTGCTCAGTACAATTATAACTTTCTTCACAATTCAACTGAATAAGTGATGTAAATCTGTACATGGCCACTTCATACCTAGTGAGAAACACAATGATTATTTTCATGTCGTTATTTGCCACTTTACATGTTAGAATTGCGAAAACATACTTCAGACACAGAACAGGAACTTTACTTCACGCATTGTTGCAGTTAATGGCAGTTTACGTGCCGAGTTGATTTCGATGGGTGTTAGATAAAATTCATTTTATTTAGAGTTAATAACTGTGAAGAGTAGTGAAAAAATCAAGATTTCCACTATAAAAACAACACGGATGGAGTGCACTTTAGTTGGTGAGGGTGCTAAAGCGTGGTTTGTTTGCACCATAAAAACTGTTCGTTAAGTGAAGTCATCCGCCGCGTCATGCAAAACACCCTTATGTTTACACTAAAAACAGAGCTACTGCAAAGTACTAGAAAAAAATTCTACTTGTCAACAGCAGAAATTTAGCCGCGCAATGCTGCTGATAGCTTACAATTGGGGAATCTGAAAATTCAGCAATCACTATTGGTCGATGTGTTGCGGTCATGAAACGAGAATGTCAAAAATGAAATCAAAGGAACAAAATAAACTGAAATCAGCAGAGAAATTATTGCAAGGTGAATTCGAAAGTAAACAAGAAAAGAAAAGGAATATAGCAACAAAAAAGCAACATCATAACAATATAACCCTTCCATCTCAAATCAACGACTCTTTGTCAGCGCATCAAACACCAACCAATCAACAGCACTTCGCTCACGTGTTCATTTCTCATAAACTCAATAACTCATCAATTAAATTCCATCCCACTTAACCCCTCTAATCGAATCTTTATCGTTTCCAACTCATTTCCTTATCTCTCTTCCAAATCGCACTAACTCGTTTTTCATTCCTCTTCTTTATATTCTTCACTCAGCAACTTCATAATTTTCCATTTGGTTTTCTTCTTTTCTTTCTATAAAATTTTTGCACTTTTCAGTCTGCTCATTCCTCTTCGTCTTCTTCCAACTATCTCATTCCCATAAAACTGAAAAAGCCCTCATCTGTCCACTCCAATAACAATCAATATTCTTCAAGCTTTTTTCCCAGCCCATAAGAAATGCAACATAGTCGATCATTAAGTACCTATTCGATAGACTTCAGTTCGGAAAAAAGCGCAATAAATGAGAAACCATTATAAATTATGGTTTATCTGATTGAAATGATCGTTAAAATTGCTTTTCATCAAGATGAACTGTGCTGACGAATAACTTCACTTAAACCTTTCATACTTCGAAAAATTGACGAACTAACGCGTTTGAGAATGGCTGAACATGAACATTCAAAGCATAATATTAATGAATCAAATGATTGTAAGCGAAAAATTTTAATTAAAAAATATTTAAACTATTTAAATTCCTCGAAAAAAATTTTAAAAGATTAAAAAAAATACTTATCGAATGAAATTGAAAAACTGAAACTATTTTTAAAGCCGCAATAAACTGAAACTCAAATAAGACTGATTAATGAGATGATGATAATTTCATGAGGTGATGTAATGAATTATTACAATTATGTCTTTCGATGCTTATCGTATGGAATATAATGCGCATTGATGAGATCATTTCCATAAATAAGCATGAATGTGTTGAAACGACTGGTTTGCTTGAAACAAGTCAAACAGGGATGTGATTGATCAGATGCATGAATGAATGAGAAAGTATCGATGGTACACTCAACAGATAATACTGAGTGACTGAGAATAAAAAAAAGAGCAAGTGTACACAAAACGAATGTAAAAAGCGAAGTAAAATCGAAATTGAAAAGCTGAAAGAATTAAACAGAATGAATACAAGAAAATTTGAAATAAAGGATAAAGTTGAACGGAAGCAGAAACCTTTTTCTGATTGACGAAAATAATGATTGGTGGATCGAATGCTTCAGACGAGAGCAACTCAACCAATTTCTTACGTTTCCTCTCCTCACCGACCATATAAACAATCTGTTCAACCCGCTCCGTGGGTCTACCCACTGAACCAATATAGACCACTGCTGGTCTTCTCAGATAAGCACGTGCTAAGCGTTCGATTGCTGGACCCATTGTTGCCGTAAACATTACCGTCTAAAAGTTTCATTCTTTCAGAAAATAAATATTGCTATACAACAAATGCACATTCGTGGGCCAATACGACCCATCGCATTATCGATCTGCATCTACCTCCTATCGAATTCTATCTTAAACATGTTATTAGCAATACAGAATCGCTTCGAATAAATTCAAAATGATGAAAGAATCGAACTGAACGATACCTATCATTTTTGTTTCTCATAATAAAACCTTCAATACGGATGAAAATGCGTCCGTGATGAGGGTTTTTTTCGTACACCTTTCAAAAAGTTTTAATGCAAAGTTGAAACGAATACTAGAGGCTGCAACTTTGAACACTGATTGCCCACAAACTAATGAATGAATGCTACCAAAACTGACTGCAGTCAGCATGAAAAGTCGATTATCAATTTCGTCAGCAAAACACTAATCAGTGCCTGAATTTTGACAACGATGATGAATTGACGCTATTCTATAGGCTTTGTTTCGAGATGTTTTCGCTTTTTTATCATTTATCTTTTGAGTCTAGCATATAGAATAGAGAGAAGGATGATTTTTTTAATGCTGTGGATGGGTGATTTCGATGTTGTAGATAAAACACAGGCATAAACTCTGGATGAATTATATGTGCTGATTAAACGAAGGAATAAATAAACAGACAGCTGATTATATTATAATGAGAAAATGTCATGAATATTGCTCTCTTGCATATGAAAAATGACAAGCGAAAAAGGCAATGGCATGATGGCTTCAAAGCATTAATTAATACCTGACGATATTTTTTCTTTGAATAGAAATTCTCCATTATCGATTCTTCTTTTTCAGCCTCCTCTGTATCTGGTTTTAAATTTGTTACTGGAATATATTCCAAAACCTGGAAAGATAATCATTTCTCATCTAACCTAAATATAACTGAGAGTTCTGCAAAACAAAAAATGAAGGAATAAACACATTCGCGTCAACTGAATGCATCATTGCTGAATGGTTTCAAAGAAAAAAATGAGTGAAGAGGCAAGACAGAGAAACAATGATGACTGATTTATACGTACACGAAAAACACTAGTCTTCTTCTCTGCCTACACCCTAACTTCTTCGAATGAATAACACGAAGAATCACTCGACTTTTCTCGCACGCCACTCAAAACATCTTATTTGTGTTGTATCCGAAGTAAACAACCAAAACCAAAACACTTAAAGCGTTGCAATATAAACGAAAGTAGCTAGAACAATAAGGAAGATTACGGCAATATCGAAATGTTCATCAAATTCAAACCTTTTGAACTTCAGGTTCGAAACCCATATCCAACATACGATCGGCCTCATCCAAAATCACATAACTGCACTGATCCAGCGATAAATATCGATTCTCCAGTACATCCAATAAACGACCCGGTGTTGCTATTACAACCTTAATTCATTTCCTCAATCAACATTGCAGTTAATTTTTTTGAAATACAATACTTGTGCACAATAACTATACATGAATGAGGAATGAAAAAGCTTGTACACCAAGAATACTGACCAACATATATTGTGTACTTGAATAATTAGCATAATTTATTGTATACCATTCCAGCACTACCTCATGATAATTTTGGTATATTGGACAAGTGATTGATTATGAAAATGAAAATTAAGTGAACAGTACAATAAACAAGAACCTCAACACCGAGACGCAATTTGAGTCCTTGTTCCTCACGAGAAGCACCTCCAATAACTGATACGGTTCGAATGCCCAACAACTGTCCAAATTTGACAGTTTCCTCTTCGATTTGCAGCGCCAACTCACGTGTTGGCGCCATTATAATTGCATACGGTCCCTAAAGACGATTCCACATAATTACAACAGAAAACAGAATTTCATTTGGAATCATCAACAAAATTTCACATTTGAACACAACTAAAATATAAAATTATTGCTTATATTTATTATTATGGTGTACTGGTAAAAACGTTGAATATGTTTATGAATTTTTCAAAAATTTTTTATCGTCGTTAAATTTTAATGCTCAATTTGTTTGATGCACTATTGTTGCTTATCGCTGGTGAACATGCCTCCCATATAATACTCATATAAAATCAAAATATGTAAAAGCTATCACTACATATATCAGGAATTCGCAAACGGTAATCATAAAATGCAATTGAAAGTGGGATCGTTAAAAGCGAAAATCAAAACTTCAAAAGCTGACCGAATCTTGATCTTCATTTCCGTGTATTTTCGGTAACGAGGTAATCCAAACTAGTAGAGGTATAAGGAATGCAGCAGTTTTACCAGAACCAGTCTCTGCCACACCAATAATGTCACGATTTTGCAGGCCAATTGGAATAGCTTGACGTTGAATCGGTGTTGGTTCCTGAAAGCGAACATCACCTTTACTGATATTTTTTCATGGATGAAAGGTTTCTGTTTGAAAAGAACTGAAACAGATTCAAAAAATTGTTTATGTCGATTGGAATCTTTCGCATTTCATCTTGAATGATTCATTTTAAGGTGACAGGAAGCGATATAGATGAATCGACTATTGACAAGTACTTAGACTGAATGTAACGAAAAGAACTGAGCTCAATTATCAACAATAATTCTATCAAAACGATTCTGTGAAATAATAAAATTTTGCTCACAATCAGCCATAGAACAACCGAAGGGAGGAATGAAATACTTTCGGATTCTTTTGCACTGTTGAGGGTCAGCGATCTACCGAATGGACTATTTGATAAAAATTATCTGATAAAATGCGTGATGAACGGACTCGAGTGAATGAATAATGAATCACTGATAAAAGTGAGTACCGTGTATCCGACTTTGACGATGACGTCTAACACCTCCTTGGGTAAACCAGCTTCCTCCCAGTTTCTGAAAGGTTTCGGGACCCGTCCACCCTTAATCGATATATTGAAATCTTCTCGGAATATGCGCCAATCACGTTCTTGCATTTCTTCAAGAGTTTTTTGCGTCCAATGTCGAGTATCGAATGCTTCTTTTTTCGCTTTCTTCTTGACACCTTCCAATCTAAACTATTTTTTCATATGTAATTATTTCGTAAACATGAACTGAATGCTAATCATATGGCAAAGAGATCATGCTCACCTCAACGCTTCCTGTTGTTTTTCTTCCTTTGTACGTCTTTTAGCCATCAGCTGGGCATAAAATTCTGATTTTTGTTTTTTCTGTGCATTCACGTCCATTCCGGCTATTGAGCCACGACCAAAAAACTGCACTTCGTGCCGCTAAAAACACGAATCATTACTATCGCTAACGTTATCACTGTAACTATTGTCATTAACACAAATCAAATTCTCATCATCAATAATAATTTGCAATAGTCTTATGAAAAGTATACAATTTCAAATTGTCACTGAACAGCAGCGTAAAAATAACAGTGATTGTTCAACCATTCTATTAGCTCACTGAAAGCGATTCATTTCCTTGTTAAGTGGATACAGCATGAACTGTTTCGCACTGACACTCGTGTGGTATTCATGAATGATCATCATTAGTTGATTTTGTTGAACGATGCAAATAAAAAGGAACAAACATCTTGATAGAGTTTATTATAATCAACGGACGTATCCTCGCCAGCATCCCAGTCGAAAATAAATTTACGCTCGTGTAATCGACGTCCACGTTTGCGTTTTTCACGTTGTCCACCTGGAAAAGAAATTACATTCGAAATGTCATCACTGATTAATCGTAGTTTTACTAGGCAAATAATAGACATATGAATGGTCAATAAAACGCATAACAATGATGAACTGCACAGATCCAATCAAAGAACCAATAAAAAGAACCAAGATATCGTTGACGTATCGCTTCATTCATCTTGTCAGCATCCCGTGTCTCGTCTTTCTCGTCTCCCTTTTCAGCGCCTCGGTCTCTGCCCCTTTCACGATCGCGACTGCGCGAACGTCTCTCCCGACTCCGACTTCTCCTCTCACGACTCCGACTTCGCCGACCTCAATTTCAATCTTTTCAATGAACAAATTATTGCTTCAGAGTTCTTTTTTTAGGGACAAAAGCTCAATAACATCGAAGAAGTTATTCAACATCGTCGAGATAAGAAACAGTTATTCGAGAAATAATCGTGTATCTGAGCGCGCTTAAATACATTCCTTATTTCTAAAAGCAATCTGAAATTTCCTTTCGAGAAATTGAAAGGAATCATTTCGAAACGCTCGATCGAATGTAATTCGTCAATTGCTTTGCTACGTTCAAACATACTTCGAATCGTATTTTACGAAATAATTAGAAAGCTCAGAGCTTACTTTCATTTGCGTTGCGATCACGACTGCGACTTCGACGTCTTTCACGATCTCTATCTTTGTCTCTCTCTTTTTCTCGGTCTCTTTCACGATCGCGTTCTCGTTCTCTATCCCTCTCACGTTCCCGTTCTCTTTCACGATCTCGTCTGTCTTTGTCACGATCTCTTTCTGAAGTTCAATTTGATTACATGCAAAAAATTTCCATTTTCTTGCAGCCGAAATTTTCTCATTTACTGCAGTAAAATTTTGCGTGATAGAAGAAAAAACGGAATGAAAATTTATGCAACCATTAATTTATTTGGAACGTATCGATTTCAGCACAATTCAAGCGATGAATGGAAGAAAGATTGTGGATTCATTATGGCAAAAGGAGAGATTCGTTAATTAATGAGAAGTAAATCGAATGACAGAAGAACAAATTTATTGAAATTGTAATTGTCAATTCACAATCTCTGATGAATTTTAAAAACTGCCAACTTAAAAACCTTTTAAGCGATAAAATTGCATAAAATACAGCACAGATAAGAGCCGAAAGAAATTTGATCCGACATCAGCATAGAATATTCATAAAAATACTTCACGTTTTTTCAGCGCTATCGCTTCATGTTCAGCCCTCGATAGCAATTATTCATATCCCCGAAAATAGTATTCTAAATCTCAAAATCTTCCATTTCACACAAAGAGATTAAAATTGCTAACCTGATCGTTTACCATCCTGCAGAAAATTCTTTCGTTTTTCGAGTAGCTCTTTCTGAAGTTCACGTTGCTTTGCCACTTGCTCTTCACGTTTTTTCATCGCTATCGCTTCACGTTCAGCCCTTGATAGGAATTTTGGCTGAAATGAAATGTGCTGATTATAATTTTGTCATTCCTATTCACTTCATTACACTCCATTGAAAATTTGCTTTCATTATTGCATCACTGTTCGCGTTACTATTAAAAATACTGCACTATGTATCCGAAAATTACGGAGAAGTGAGGTAAACTTGGTGATACCTCATAGTCTATTTCAACAAGAACGAGCCTGACGTTTGTGATGACAAGCAAATCCGATAAATGTGAACGCAAAACGTTATTATATAACTAGCAGCGCCCTTACCACCATCGTATAATCTTATCAGTAGCTTCCATAAGAAATGAAAATGAAAATCAATCATATTTTATGGAAACATGGCAAAAATATTGGTCATGTAGTGACTAATTTCAATGATGCGATATAAACTTAATACCTTCGCATCTGCTTCCTCCAGTTCCTTTTTCTTCGCAATCAGTTCCTCAATCGCAAACGGCTCACGTTTCGCATCCATAATGAAGCGTTCGATTGTGAAACCTTTGTAGAAATGATAATGAATATTTGATGACCTGCAATCTTAACAGACGATCGACTCCTGTTGAAATTATCAAACATTTTCTCGTTATCACATTAACGCATGATGGTGAACGATGATTATAATACACCACTCATCTATCGTCGCATGATTTACGAATCAAAACATTCACCTAAATCCATTCAACAAGCGTTGCAAATTCAAAATTCATTTTTATGGGTGGAAAGGATATTTTGTCGCGAAAATCACGCATACTGACAGTGAATTAGACTCACTTTTACACAGGTCGATGTGAACTCAACAAGACATGAAATAGCACAATGAAAGGAATGATAAAAACAATGAAAATTTTCGGAGAGAAGTTGAAATTACGCAGTTTACGGAGAAGTAAAGAACTGATACGAATAACAGTGAGCTTATGTTGAATATTGCGAAATACTCCCGGATAACAGAAAACTTCTGTTAGCTAATACAAAATAAATATTCCCATTTCTACGCCTGTCCTTTCCTAGCGTCCCAAATCTAAAAGCAATCGAGATTATCCACTGATAATGGACACACGTTGAAAACCGCAAGCCCGGTCTGAAAATAACACAGATGTGAGCAATACAACGATTCCAATTTCTCATTGCACTTTTTTTTCGAATTCATTCGGTTAGTGTCGTTCCATAATCAATTTATTCAGCACTGAAAATGGCACGACCTTTAAGAGTGTGTTATGTTTTTGCGTTAAACATTCCAGCTGACAACACCTTTCGAAACGTCCATGTTCCAACAACAGTGGCAATAAATATTTATGAAAAGAGCAGCCAAAGTAGTGATATGAATAAGTAAATGGCATGAAATCAATAGATACACACGCGATTACGAATGACTTATCCCGAATACGATTGCAAAACAATATGCGAATGAAATATCCAAATAACACTCTCATAATAACTGACACTAAGCTCCGCAAACTCAATCGTACTGGAATTATGGCAAATAAATGAACTGTACGATAACGACCGCTAATCACTAAATCTTCGCTAATCAATACAACTTAAAATAAAACCCTCAATAAAAACTTAACATGACTCAAAAAATATTCGCGAAATAGAAGAAAATAACACGCAGTCAAATAAACAAATCCATACGCAACACACTCCACCGAGCACAACGTTGTATGTTAAGCCTTAGTAGCTATCAATCACTGTCTCTATCATTCGTTTATTTTCTTTGCTCCTTCTGAACTTTCCCATCGTATTTCTAACGTGCATCGTCTCCAAGCAGGAACTCTCGCTGTGCTTATCGCAACCGATTCGCATTGTCTACATTTGCATCGTTGACATACCTCATCACACAAACAACTATCCTTTCGAGATGTCTTTCGTATGCGTTCTCGTGTTTACATTCATTCTAGATACGCACAACATAACTTGTGCATGAATAGAACGTGCACGCTCTCAGGTTTATTTTAACGTTCGCTGTGAACGAAGGGATGTTCCGATAAGTTTTGACCGAATGGTGGTGGCATTGACCGAATGCTTTTTATCATATTATCAATTATTATCAAAAAGATCATCAGAACAATGCTAGTAATATGGGTCAAATCAGCAGTGATAGCAATGAAAACACAATGGCGGTACACAGCGCAGCACACACATACCACACTGATTACAAAATCCTATCCATCCCTTCAGTTGGTTCCACAAAAATTTCCTCATAAAAAATTCTCCTCAATGTTGATCTGAATTTCTATTTCAGGCATAAACAATTACCATTCAGTCAGTCTGTACTTCTCCACTTCCAAATTGCGTCTCTCCTCTTTGTTTTGTGGCGTAAAACCAGAAGCGATTCATTAATTTCGGATTATTTCTTCTCTTGAAACTCCCAGTCCCCCGTCTCCCCAGCTATCGTGTATTCATCCTTATTTTTCTTACTCGTCATCTTTTCGATCAGTTGATTAATGATAGCTACTGATTGTGAGTAGATACCAACTTACGTAAATCTCAAGTTTAGAAGTTTGGAAATAAAATCCTTAAATGCCTTATTCCTAGAAGGGAATTTTCAAATCGGATCAGTTCAACTATCAATTTGAATGTTATCGGATGTATTAACATCATTTTGTCATCAAATAAAACGTTTAATGCTCTGCGTTAACATTTAATGCTTTAATGCTCTAAAACATTAAATAAAACATGTTGCGATTCATTTTCACTGAATGTCGAATTCATGTGCAACGTTCAGCTATCGCCACTTTACAGTCTCTTTCCGGCTGATACATCGTACTATTGTCGTTACTGTTATTATTCTATCCTAAAAGAATAGAATAATCCTTATTCGGTTGTATTATCCACAAATTGATTGATGAATGAGGATGATCAATGTGCGCAAGGGCTTGTATCTTTTGCACGTGAACCTCTACAGTTATTAAAGGCTGATAGTGGTACAGCATTTATACAGAGTATTGCGGAGAACGGCGAATTTCGGCGATTTCCTCTGCGACTCCAACATTTTTCAACGCGGCCGCATTTCCGGGGCATACTACTGTAAATTTCGCCCTGACTTTCCTCGTCTCCGTCTCTTTCAGGATTCTTGGGATCCCCACTGCACGAAAATTTTCGGGAACTTCCTCGAACATTCCCCAAAAATTAGTAGAATCATATCAGGATGTGAATGTTAAATGATGTCACCAGCAACGTTCGCATGTTTTGCGTGGTTCTAAGACAATCCACTCTGAGATAAATGCCCCAAGATAGCTGCCCTCGGACAAACGCCACCGAGGGAACTGCTTCCGCATAACTGCTACCGACAACTTGCCCCAAATTAATAGCGGCTGAGGAAGGCTTTTCATAGTTAGCCACAACGTTATCTGACGATCAGACGCGGCCTTGACATGAACCTCAGCCTATGCCTTAGCATTAACTCCAGTCTTAGCCTAAGCCTGAAGATAAGAATATCAGTGATAAGATTGTAACATCACAATAATGGTAATAATAAAAATTATAGTAATCACTGAAAGAGCTTTTTAGGTTAATTAATAGTGATGGCATCCAAATGAAATTTCACTTTGATCGGAATCTCACCGAGTCGACTTTTAAACATTCTAAACTTCGTTATTCGGTTGAATTCCAAAATCCTTCAGCCGAGATTCTAATCTCAGGATTCCGACTGAAATTCATCGGATTCTACGCACCGAACTCTGGTCGATTACCATCACTATTTGAGATGTTGACTACTGTGAAGGCAAGTTGATGTGGGGCGATGGTGCTGATACCGTTTTATGTGCCACTGTAGCCTCGTTAATGAGTCTTACACTTTTTAAGTTTACTCTTTGCTTGTTAGTGTTGTTGCATGATGCGGCTGGAAGGATTTCTATTCTGTAACGACTCAGCAGGGCCAAAAAAACGAGAAGGTTTGGTCTCAGTGGAAATATTTCGTTTTGGAATCGCAGAGGGAAAACGATGTGAAGTGTGTTTGCTCGATATGTGGAAAAGACTTCATCGTGAAACAGTCATCGCCGAAGGGCCTTCTTGACCATCTACGTATGGCCAATGCTAACGAGGCAGATGTGTCGAAGAAGAAAATGGAAATAATGTGTGATGACAGTTCCAAAATTGACGACATCTATTATCATAGGAACGAAATGTTTTTGGTTATCTCAGTATCATGAAATGAAAATGGCACTTTTCATCACCATAACACAGCTATTTCCGTAAATTGTAACTTATATATAGCCTAAACCTTTAGTGATAAACTCAGAGGATTTCTACGACATGGAGAAGAACAAATTCATTAAATGTCATTCAAGAATGTTATTCATTCTTTATCGCCAAATATCAAGTATCGTTTATTTTTTCGTGTGGTTCAACGAAACGCTATCATTAAGACCGTATTGTGGTTTCGCGGTTATCTTCGTTGTGTCATGCAGATTGCTTAATTTCCATGCATTTCCAACATGTATTCCTGTTTCAAAGGTTCTATTGACTTCAGTTCAAACGTTACGTTTTCGGAGGAAATTCGAGGATCGCTGACGAGATTCGGTTTTTCACCGCAGTTCTTTGTCCCCGGCTTTTTCCAGAGCGACTGTATTTTCGGATCCCTGACCGTGAATTTCGTTCTCGACTTTTTGTTTCCTCGTAACACAATATATTATTTTATCACAGTAAATGATCACTTGAAATATGCACTTTCGATGTGACGGGTAAAGTCAACGTGATAAGGAAATTCGACATTGGCACGTATTTCTGAGCATGTGCATGCACTTTAGAAAATATTTTCATGCTAGTACTTGGTCATTCATGGAACGAATATAATGGATGATGCCATTTTTAAGTTTTGAAATGACTGCATCACAATGGTAGAAGAAGATTAGCAGTAAGAGCAATAGTAATAGTGTATCAGCTGTGCAAGTAAAAGAATAACACTTTTACGATTGTAAACACAATACCTCGTTGAAGTGCTTGATAATATAGTAGCAGTTGAACATTATTGATTTATAATTCATAACTGAGATAGTGAGAATGATCAGTGAGAATTTAATTACAAAGGTCGATTACAGATGTTGTTATTTTTAAGCATGTGATAATCAAGATTGAATAATACTTTCATCTTCTTTATATCTCGAAGAATCACCGTTCTCGATGAACGGATATATAATATATGTAAGCCAGCGGTTTGCTACATTTTGAAATATTTCGAAACGAGATGAGAGCCATTCTAGCGATATGAGACAGAATTTTTTTGATTCAGAGAAAAGCATAGGTTTATCTGGAAATAACCGATAGAAAACTGGAGGTTCGCCTCGTTTGAAAGAGAAGATACGAGAACACGCTAGGAACCGTTCTTGTTTTCTTTCCATATGTTTTGTTGAGGTGAGAAGAGACATAAACCCATAATATCAACACAAACTATCAACGGCAAACTTTCACACGACAAACGGTAAGAGACAGACTTAATGAAATTGTTTCTGTTCATTGAGTTGAAATTTGAGTAGT